TTTTTTTTTTTTTCTAAAATTAACTTTCAACCCGATTCTACAATTCTTAATGACTGCAAATAATATTATTACAGTCGTTAAGAGTTACAGAATAGGTTTCGTTTCCTCACGTGTGACATATATTCCGCATTGACTTCTTCACTAAAGATTTACAGCTAACAAACGATCATTATATGCATATAACACCTTAATTATTATTGGGAGATTCTTCTTGAAATTCTTTAACACATCTATGGGAGGGAGGAATACTTTTAAATTCGTTATATAAAACAACTCATTGCTTAGTCGCACTTCGGAAAACAGAAATTGTGTTTACAGTTTATCAGTGTAATCGCTCGCGTAATGGTCTCTAAATCGATCAGCGCGAATCCTCGTATCAAAAGTACCCGAATAATAGATCGAAATCATTGATTAATTGTACTCGTTAATTATATACTGCCGATACGTAACTACCGTCGCGTCCACCCGATGTACCTAGGTTCGTTCGTGATCAATATTTCTGTCGTCGAGTTCCTTCCTCGCCGATCTGCATGTACGGGATCCAGCCGAGAATCGCGCGATCCCTTCACGCTCGGATCATCGCGACTTGTGTTCTTAAGTTTCATAAAAAATTTTTAATTTTCGGAAAAAAATCGACGGAAAAAATTTGACTTTTTTTTTTTTTTTTTTTTTTTTTTTTTGGAAAAAATTTAATAAAAGTAGATACACAACTTGTAACTGTACACAAGTTTGAAAATGCACCTGACCAAGCAAACATTCTCCATTCATAAAGTAAATATTGATCAGATCACGATGAAGAGAAAAATGGAATTAATCATAAGGAATTAGGAAAACGTCAGAGTAGAACGAAAAATCGTATCGTCAGCCTCTAGCTTTATTACCAATTCTTTATGTTCAATTTTGTATTCTTTATCCTGTTCTTTATGTCTGGATCCTAACGTTACTCGTAATTGGCTTCTTCTTTATTACCATCCAACGTTTAACAAAAAGAAATCTTTGACAGAAATCTCATAAATGGTGACAACGGATTTTATTACTGAATTACTTACTTTATTGGAATATTTAAGAGTGAAATGAATCTTAAAAGCTTTAAAACCGTTGACGTAAAGGATAATAACGGTAAAAAAAATTTCTAAAAAATATGGGGCACTAAAAATATAAAAAAATACTATTTTTGTCAAGAATTTTTTTGGGAGATCAAGAACACTAGTCGTGGACGAAAAAAAGGAGGCGCGTGACTTTCGACGGGCTTCTCACTCTCGTAGATGCATCCCCGCGAGTACGTACTATCCGCGACACTGCACCGTGTATATATGTGTATGCTGATCGCGCGAGAGTGCGTGTTTAGTGTGCGTGGGTATTTTGTACAAGGTACAAACGCACGCGTGCCGACGCGTACATAGGAACGTCGCTGTCGCACTTGTTCGAGCAGCGATTATGTTTCATGCTTCTTCGAGTGGCGAGTGAACAATACGCGAAAGACGAGAGTACATTCCTCTTGTTTCCGCAAGTGGAAATTAGCCAAGAATCAGTTTGGGTCGACTTTAACATTCACACGAACACGTATGACTTATGGAAACGAAGAGGAGAAGCTACCCAACTCTCTAAATTCTTCGAGGTGAACTCTCCGCTCCAAAGGAGTGAAAATTCTACCATTCTTTCATCGAGAGTGGCAGAACTTTAAGAGTAAAATCTCTTCTTTCTAGAGAAAAGGAACACTTATGTAAAAGAATACATCTTCTTTCTACATGTAAAATCGAGAGATGCGCGAGGTATTATTATAATTAGATGATCGCAAGGATGGAAATGAAGAGTCTCGCAGTCTTGAGGTCACTATAGGCATGTCGGCGCGCGTACGGTTGACTTTGATTACTTTACGAGCCTTCGATCGCTAAAGTGTATCGCTCGACACAGTGCTTTTATTTTATTTACTTTATTTAATTTCTTTTTGCTTTATTAACTATATATTTTTTTGGTATCTCATTTCTTAATAGCAACGAGAGTGCGCTACGACATTCCTCCCTTTCGCTCCGCCTCGTCTCTCTATCTCTCTTTCTCTCACGTCGTATAATCTTGGTATAATCTTTTAAAGCTTCTTTTGGCACGTATTATTAGAATGTATTATTTTAGTTTTACGGAAGAATTCGATTTAGCGTTAAATCTCCCGCTCCTCTCTCTCTCTCTCTCTCTCTCTCTCAAACTCTCTCTCTTTCTCTCTCTCTCTCTCTCTCTCTCCCTAATCGCTAATTGTCTTCCCGTACTCCGCTGACTATTCCCCCATCGTCGAATCCTTTTCTCCCACCTCCTCTTCTATTCCCCCCCCTCCTCCAGCATTATTATTATTTAAACACATTCATTTACAGTTTTACACTTCGCTACGTCGTAAAATTTACATCGAGTGTTTGCAGTCGCGATTCTGCGCGTACAGAAGATTATCGTTATCCTTTCGATATATATATATATATATATATATTTTTTTTTTTTTTACTTAAATAAGTTGTTGTGCGACTTAGCTTTTTCCCTCTCGTCTACTCTCCCCGATGCTACTCGCCACCGCCATCGCACTCTTTTCCCTTCTTCCTCGGGGGGGGGGGGGAGGGCAGCGCGATGCCTCCGACTACGGCGACGACGGTGACGATCGCACCGAAGCGGGGGAAGGTACCAGTACTCCTCGGGGGAGTCCTGAGGGCACCGGATACGCAATATATAATTCCGAACTCGCGCGACTTGCGCGATATTCGGAGAGGTATTAATAAAGATGTTAAATTCATGGCAGTATCCACATCGCGTTACTTCCCTGCGAAACTCGGAGACCGGAGCTGCGTGCGTTTTGACTAGTGCGTTAACGGCCGGCACGCGCTTTCCGTTCCGACGCGCGAACGAGTCCGCATCCCCTCTTTGTTCCTCCCTCTCACGATTCTCTCGCAATTTCCCCAGGTCCCCGGCGTACCGTCATCCCACGTCGATCTTTTCGTTACAATGAAAAGATTCCGGCGGAACGACCGTTGAAATATTGAAATGACAGTCAAGCTGAGAACCCTCGGTTTTCCCCCGAAGAGTTTGCGACTTAAAAAAGCTTAAGAACCACTGCCTCATTAAATATTCACGCGTCTCGATATAGACGATCGATATCAGTGTCGTCGAAATTCGAGATTATTCGAGAATATTGTGAACAAACAATCCTCATATATTCTTTAGGCGAGGATGGGGACCCGTTCACGTCATCCGGTGTCACGTCATTAACCCCCCGACAAGAATACATTAGTTCGTGATTAATTCTTTTTATGCGTTAATGGACGTCAATGCAATTACGAAATGATACAATTACGTTCGAGAGAGGGAGCGTTAAACTCCGATATTACGTCGGGGGATAACCGAGTTATCCGCGTAATTACTGACGATTAATAGAATTTTCACTGAAAAATGCACGCGATCGGCCAGCGCGCGAAAACGAGACGCGGTCGTCGGGGGATTAATCTCTTATTCAGTATCCAAGGAACACGTAAGAGTCAATTAAAAAAAAAAAAAAAAAAAAAAAAAAGCGCTTTACTTTGACTTTTGATGTCAATAAAACAAATCGTCGTTTTGACTTTTATGAAGTCAAAATAAAGTCAGTTTCTCACGCCTGTTGTGTGTTCCTCGGGCAGAAGAAAGCTACTCGGAAGGTAGTCTTTCTTCATCTCTGCGTGACGACAGCGTGAGTGGCCAATCGGATATTAAACGTCGCGCACGATCCCGAGAGTGAGCCCGAAAGATGTGTGGACCACACGACCGGGACGTACCCGTAACGACGAGCGATATCGCTAGGAACAGGGAAGTTTGGCAGTCACGAGCGCCAAACTTACTCGCGGCAGTCGCCGGTCTCCTCGCTTCCGTTTCTTCGTACGATCTGAGAAACGCGTAAAACGGAGGAAAAGTAAACGGCGATATAAGAATAATAATAATAATGATAATAATAGTAGAGTAGTAGTAATAATAATAATAATAATAGTAATAGTAATAATAATAATAATAATAATAGCAGTACAGCATTGTTACGGTATATGCATGTGTGTGTATGTGTGTGTGCACACGCGCGCGCGCGTGGTCGTTGACTTCCAATTCTGTAGTGTGCTGATATCGGAAGCATGGAGGGAAGACTGCTCCCCTCCTCGATGCGAGAAGATCGAAGTGCGCATCGATGGGTTACTGATGTCATCCCCGATCGACCGCACCGGCACCGCGGTTCCTGCTCTGCCACTTACACTTGAGAATCCTCACGTAGGTTCTGCGGAAAGCTGCGTTGCCCAGCGCGTAGCACATCGGGTTCACAGTACTGTTAATGTAACAAAGGTAATAAACAAAGTCCCACAGCACCTGAGGTATGTACCACGAGCAGGCGGTGATGGACTTGAGGAGTACCAAGATGTTGTACGGGGTCCACGTGATAATGAACGCCAACAGGATGGCCGACAGCGTTTTCGCGGCCTTCCGATCGGCCTTCTTCTCTTGGATCTTCTTCTTCTTCTTGTTCGGCTGCTTGTTCAGTATTCCCTTGCCAGTCGTCAGAGCCTTTGGTATGTTCTTCGCGTTCAACGGTATCCTGATGTCCGGCATCTGCGATGGCCTCCTCATCGTCACCGTCGATGGGCTCGACACGGATCCGCCGCCGAGACGGAAGAGCTTGCTGGCACCACTGCTGCTACCGCCAACACCACCGTCATCCTCGCTGTCTTCTATCATAGGATGCAACTGGATCGACATGGACTCGTCATGTATCATCCTTATGCTCGTCCCCTCGGTGAATTTCCCGCCGTTACTCGGCAATTTGATTAGAATCGTATAAATCTGGAAGTCAAGGAGGCACACGCATAGTATGGATCTTCGAGCGAATCAATTGGAATATCAAAGATAATAGGTTTATTTATTATTATTATTATTATTATTATTATTACAAACAATTATATATCGATTTCACGTTAAATACAAAAATTGTATAGTGAGAAAAATGTTCTGATGAACCAATGAAAGGCACCCAACAAGAACAAATCTTATATTTAATAGCTAAATAGCTAAATACGTAAATAATATGTAACTTTGGCTGCATTTTGCAAAAATAGCAGTTTTGTAATTGTAAAATTCTTTAATATGATTGATCTTGCTCCTAGTCTCGAAATAGATACGTAGTAAGCTTTAAACCTTATTAATTGACCAATCATAGTCGAGTATTTTTCTCACATTCGGCTGTGACTAATTAATTGATTTATTTAATTAACGAATTAATTAATTCCTCAAGGCATTATTACATCTATTACGTTTTAAAAAAACTTATAGTTCTTCACGGAATTTAAAGCTCATTTTACAATCGTATAAACATTGTGATGGTATTATAAAAATTGATCTACCACAGTCAAATATTCTCCTAATATTCGACTATGATTGACCAATTCTTATAACTACAACTACTATTTATAATTACGCAATTATAAAATGGATTTAAAATTTAATTATATCAAGGAATCTTATAGCGAATTCAATTGGTGGCGACGCACTCACATTAAATCCGTACACAAAATAACGTAAAGATATCCCTGGTGGAAAAATTTCGCTGAAATTGTTCCATGTTTTGGGACACTTTTCGGCAAAATTTCAACATTTCATAAAAATTTCAGTTTAATTTCTGCAATTTTTATTTGAAAAATTCATTTCTAGCAAAATTTCAGCAAACATTTCAGAGAAGTTTCAAAGTAATTTCAGTTTAGTTTCAACGATTTTTCAGTATGTTAACTGAAAAATTCACTTTCAGTGAAATTTCAGTAAATTTTCAATAATTTCCAAGAAGTGGAATAATTCCAGAAAAGTTTTTCACCAGGAATGTTTATTATAAATAAACATAGAAATTGATTAAATCGTGAAATACTCAATATATTTTATTGTACTATTGGGTAAAATATGTACTTCATAATTCGAAATATTTGCATGTTATTTTTATACTCAAATTAAATTAGTGTACAATGGCTTTAATATGCATCAGTGCGCACTAGTGCTTCCAATCGAATTCGCCATTACAATAGCTGTAAAATTGCTTTTTCTGCTGAACACAGCCGTTGTTAATAATTCTAATAGCCGCGTGTTGTAATACTGATTTCCCTCGAAAACACATTAAGGTCCGTTTTCACAATATATGGTTACCTAAAGATTAAAGATTATCAACAGATTTATCAATAAAATTCAATCATAAATTTCTTGGTTACCTTTAAGTCTTTAAGATAATCATATATTGTAAAATCGAGCCTAAAAGATGTTATCTTTTCTCAAGTTGATTCCCAAGTAAAAAACGAATAGAAGCGTCACATACGGTATCGCTGGAAATATTTCTAAGGTCGACCGACCGTGCCGGCCTTTTGTATAGCTCGTGCTGCATCGCGGTCTTGTCCAGGGCGATCCCCGTGGCCTGTATCGCGCTGAGGGAGGGACATCGCGATACCGTGCTGGGAAGCGGCGTTTCGGCCGACAGCGGCGTGAGCGTGTCTTCGTAACCGGCCCCGGTGTGGCTGCTCTCCGGTCCAGCGATCTCCTCGTCGTCGTCCTCGTCGTCTCGACCGCTGTGCCACCATGCGATGCACCACATCTTCAGCCAGGTCCAGGAAAACGGCCTGTGCTGCATGCCCAAAAAACGAATACGGATAAGCTTGTAATCGCGAAAGTGATTAACCTAGCCAAGGTTGCGTATGCAAACGTAACTTTGCGTCATAACGTAATACTGAATCCTTACTGATTTCTCTCTGATGAGCAGAAGAAGGTCGCAAATATAATTTTGACATACAATTTTGTTTTTAAGCAACATTTTTTAAACAAAAGCTAAAAATAAAATAAAACTTTAGAAACGTAAATACAAACTAGAAAGTGCCGTCAGATGATAGCAATTTTTATAATACTGTTTGCAATTTTGCAATAATTAACTTTTTGCAAGACTTTAAGCAAGAATAAACGTTTAACGAAATGGGCCCCAAAATTGACAGTAAGCAGTAATGCCACGTATTCCTATTCTTTTCCTTTTATAGACAATAATTTATATGCTTATTAAAATATATAAATCAACAAAAATGTTTTTTATCGAAAAAGAATTATCGAAAAGATTCTAAAAAATTTTATGTACATTCACTTGTAGGTATTTTGTAGCTAAATTCTATTAATGACTCCTGTAAAAGAAAAAAATTACTGTCAACGCGATGGTTTTTTTTTTAAGTTTTCCCATAAATACAGACTTGCCTTCAGCTCCGATAGAGCTATTTGACACTATAACGCAGCACTATGTAAAGATTAAGTTAACTTATGATCTGCCTTACAAACAAGTACGTCAGTTTACGTTATTCCCCGATTTTATATAAAACCATTCCAGACAGCACAGAATATTTACGATAAATATTTATAAATATTTATTACTTATTTTTTTTAATATTATATAAATATTTTATAATATTAACATATTTTCTATAAACGTTATTCAAAAATATTTAAATACAAGACTAAATAGAAATCAAATACTTATATAATATTTATGATGAATATAAGTAAATATTTGTGGTAAATACTTTTTACTGGGATTACAATGTTTTATTATAAGTATTTTCATAGCATTTACTATTAATATGTATAATAAATATTTCTGATCTGTACAATCTCAGATGACAGAAATATTTACAAAATATTCAAAATAAATCTTACAAATATTTTATAAATATTATGTATTGTCTGAGATATGACAAAAATAAGAAAGAAAAAATATAAATAAATTTACGGAAACTATATACCAATATATAAAAAGATATAATACTATTAAAAATATATATAGCCATTCTTATTTAAAAATCATGCAATTTATAAAAGACAATCATAAGAATTTTATTTTCGCATTTGTAGAATTTTTTTTAACTGATATTTTATACACGAGCAAGCCACAAATATATGTATTATGAATTTTTATTTCTTTAATCATCTAAATAGATCATATTTTTATCGTATTAGCGTAATGTTTCTGAAAAATAAGGGAGATCTTTAGGAAATCTATGTTAGTATTGGCGACTTTCCTTTCAAAATGCAAAGAGATACACAAGATTTCAAAGTAATAACAATTACTGATCCTGAATTGCGCGAATTGTGAAATATAAAGTTCCAACTATCAACGACATTTGTAAAGACGAGCAAATAGGTAAACGTGCAAAGTGACTCCACTTGGTGTAATCGCATTCGCACTTATGGTTACAACTATACTTACGCTCTTGTATTGCGGATAGTGCTTATCAATGTAGGAAACCGCGATGTGCGTGGCGTGCGAGACGTCGTCGGCGGTGCTCGACTCGCTTCGCTGTCTTCTGCTCTCTTCCATATCTAAAACCTCGTCACTACAGGGAAAAACATGAAAGTAAGTACGTCGAACTGTACTTAAGTCTTTCGACCGCGCGATATTCGCAGAACACGATTACTCGCGTTGTCAAAAGGAGTTACACGGACGAGAGAAAAAATATTTTTATCGGATTAAGATTAAACGAATAGAAAATATTTAACGAGATCCATAAATCTCGAAAAAATATTTTTATAAAGATCGTGAGCTAACATTAAAAAATAACAAGTATTAAAAAAATAATCATAAAAGGACATTCAATAATATTTGTGGAGAAGGAAAAATAAATATACGACTAAAATAATATCTTCACGTAAGAAAAAAATTAATTATAATTAATCTAACGATGTCTAATAGTGTCAAACGTTCATTCGACCGGTGCATCTGTGCCCTAAAATCAAAGGAAGGGCTGATCTTCCAATTAGGGCAATGTGTTACCATCTCTCTTGTGCAGAGATTGCATTTTTTGTTTTTTTTTTTTATGACATGCTGACGACAAGTTCGGAGAGAGAAACAATTGAAAGCGCTAGTTACCACCTCGAGTTGCTGCGCTTGCTCGCGTCTTGTTTGCCGGCCTGCAAATTCGGCAGGTCCTTCTGACGTTTCTTCGTCTCCAGCCAGATCCGCCAGTAAAGGAACGTCATTATCATGACAGGAACATAAAACGCGGCGATGGCCGTGCCGAAGGTGATGTAATGATTCGTCTCGATGAATTGGATGTAGCACGAGGCTTTCGGCACAGTCCTTTGACCCTCGATGTACGGCCATGCGTAGATCCAGGGTGGCCAAAGAAGCAGCGATATACCCCAAGCGGATCCTGAAACGATCATTATGTTGTTGTCTGGAGCAGTTCTCAATGAACATTTAATTATATTTATTGCAAATTTTATTTTATTTTTTTTAACAAACATATGACTGCAAAAGACTCGAGAACTCCAGACTCTCATTCGAAGAATTTGTTTTTTATGTACCTATTAATATTAAAATGGGTTCTAGTTTAAGAACGAAACGTTTGTTAAAAATTTAAAAGACATTAAATATTAACTATCAAGAATCAGCGTTTTCTCTTGGTTCTTTTTACTTGATTCTTTTTATTATTGTTTTCAACTGAGCCTAATAATTCAATTCTTATTCGAAGGTTTCGGATGATTATTTATCGCGAATATTGATTTAGACTTATCTGCTAAACATAAAGTAACATTATATTAATTTGTAATTTCTCATCCAACAATATATATATATATATATATTGTGTGTGTGTGTGTGTGTG